TGTATATATATATATATACATATATATATGAATATATATGTATATATAATTCGATTTAATTTAATATTTTATATGTACAGGTTCGTTTAAACGTCCATGCATTCCTTCAACAATTTCATTTTGGAGTGTTCTATAGCTACTTGAAATTGAAGGAGCAAGAGTGTCGTAATATTGTATGGATCGCGGAATGTGTTGCTCAAAAACATCGGGCTAAAATAGATAATTATATCCCTATCTTTTAAATATGCATATTAAATCGATAATATCGATTATTTACGTCTCAATGTAATCTAATTTTTTTTGCATAGTATAAAATTATGCGGTAATAATCTAATTATTATTAGAAAAGCTCTTAAAAGAGTTATTTGTGTAATAATATCACACAAAAATTTATTTTAGAAAATCAAATAGACATGTACAAGTATAAAGGAGAATATCTCATTTGAATCGATCATTTAAATTCTAAAACATTTTTAATTTTACAGAAAAAAATGTTGAGATAAAAGTTATACAATTTGGAGAGATGCAAATAATGCTAAAATCAGTTAGAAGATCAATATTTTAAAGTTATATGGGAAGATCAATATTTTATCGTCATTTTTTAATAGAATTGTATATTTTTTTTCACATAAATGATTCCTCTTTAGTTATTCTCTATATAAATGTATTAGGTAAAGCTATCAAAAAATCAAATAGTTACGAGAGACACTTTACACTTTATTTGACAACTTTACGAGAGATATTTTATGCTTTATTTGGCACATTTTAACATAAAACATAAAATATTTTTTAAATTATTAATATTTTTTTATAATCGTATTAATATTTTTATGCATAGATTGTGATGAAATGAATCAATTGGTGTAAAGGAAACGTATATTTGCTTAAAAAAAACATTTAGTTGCATACTGCAAAACGCATAAATTTTTAAATAAGCAACCATATTTTTTTTACACCAATTGATTCATGTCATTATTATGCGTATAAAAGTATTAAGGTATGATTATCAATAAATTAATATTTTACGAGATATTTTATATTTCATGTCAATATGTGCCGGATTGAAAGTATAAAATAATTCTAAAAGTATAGATTTCTCGATATTTCTATGTCAATTCTTTTATATGCAGTATTATTAGAGGAATCATATTACGTAAAAAGAAACATCATATAATCCCATTTAAAAAATAGCGATAATCTTAAAAAAAATTGATTTATTTCGAAAATTAATTTTATCATTATTTACGTCCCTTTAAACCATACAACTCTCGCCTAAAATATTTTTCTGTAAAACTAAAAACAAACAAAATGTTGGGGTCGATTAAAATGGGACACCCCGTATATAATTGTCGAACTGTAATAAGCCACTTGCACATATTAAAAATTATGATTTAGCATTGTTATTAGATTTTAAGCAAAATATAGCAAAATCTATATGTGTACATAATATATAATTTTGACCTTCAATGTAAATCATTATCATATATTATTGTAGTGATTAATATAATAATATACATGCTATAAAATAAATGAAAATATACTGCATTCCGTATAATTAACACAATCACTAATTCCTCATAATTTCTCACTTTTTATATTAAATCAGTGCGGCAGTGATAATAGGTAAGGAAAATGGTAATTCTATAAACAAAATGAATGACGAGGGCTATTGGGAATTGGCGTTGTAGTAATTCTGCTTTAAAGAAGTTATCTTAACAACAACAAAAGAAAAAAAACAATTCTTGCATACTAATCTTTTAGCCTTCTTCAGCGAAACATTAAACAATATGAAAAATTAATACAATTAATTGAGATGCATCCGTTCATAATCATTGTATAGCAGTAACCATTCCTCCATTATAGAATAAACTCACCAGTTGAAAGAAAGACTGAGTTGTAGCGAATGACTAAGAATCTTTAACGTTTAAACGTATTAACTTAATTAAACAAAAATTTAATATTGAAATCACTATAAACCCCATAATAACGTGACCAATGACCAAAATCGTCGTGCGAATTACTTTGATCTCAATTTGATACAATAATATTAATATAATTAAAAACGTAGTCAATGAATAAAACCATATTGAAATTGAGAAAGTGTTCCACACCACCGTCAAAAATGTAAATAATTTAGCAGGGTGATGAAGACAGTTTTATGCTCGTAGGCGAGCACACGACCATGGGCTCGTGCTTGTGTGTGTGTGTTACAGCGCTACCACGATAAATATAGGCCGAACTTATAGGTGTGGAAAAGTGACATTTTGACCAGTTTTGATGACGAAATTTGTGCCCGATGCCATTTCGTTATTATTTGCTTAATTGTGAAAATGTAACTTGTTTCGTACTTCTCAAAGTCGTAATTTTCGATGACAACTAAAGTTATCTTAGAATTTTATACGTAAAAGTGTATATTTAACTCGTTTCAACAGCTGCTAAACCGTGTTTCTGCCAGAATATAGGCTCACTTTACGAGTCTTTTAATTACGACCATTTATGATGACTATCAAGGGAGGAAAGGACAGTTGACATCGATTTTTACAAGTGTTTTAATTAAAGCGATCTCGTTATTTCATTTCATCCAAATTGTCTTTGTTTACAAATGGCATCGTGCATAAATTAACGTGTCATTCCTCGCTTCTGACGTCACGATTCCAACATGGCCGCCGCGACTAGTCAGGAGCCTTAAAAAGGAGGTCTATGTTTTGTTTAGAACTTCTGTTCTGAGCGTCTGTTTGTCGATTGTTACAATTCTTCTGTCCCTTGATATGTGTATTATCTTAGACATTAATCTTATTATAATCATGCTCACAGTATCCAAAATGCAACCCAGGCTAAATCATGGCTACGCTGCAATCTATGATCAGTTATTACTGAAAGAGTATAAGACGCGCTTCAACGGATATATTGTGTTCCGAGATTCTGGTTTTTAACTGCCTGCACGTCTATTTAACATAGGTTGCATTATTACAAGATATTCTGTAAACAACATTCTTTTTAGATAACGGTGGAAAAGGATCTTTGTGAGCTCTAATAACATTATGAAGCTTGTTAATGCTTAAAAAAAAGTCTAGAGTCCAACTCCCAATTACCTTCGTCATTCGTTTTGTTTATAGAATTTGTTATCTTGGGAACTTCGTTAAAATAATAATTGATTTACAGCAGCTTTTTTTATTCTAATAATAGGATTGTTAGTTATTTATATACTTTTAAAGACAGATACTCTACAAGTATGAAGGATCATTTTCATTCTGTTTGAATTTATCATTGAATTTATCAACAAATTCATTTATCAATCTTTATACTTCTTTTCTCGTATCTTATTTCTTAAACACATTTCTTATTGTATGCTACATATCTTGAAACGTAACAATTGATCTTTTCAAAGACTAAAGAGATGTTCATCCTTTATGATGTATTCTTCTATTTGATTCTCAGGATTTTTCCCCTTGCAATATACTTGCAGTATGTTACTATCACGTATAGGTACAATTCCAATTCAACTTTATTGTGTACAAAAGAACAAAGTAGGTACAAATACGTTATTTCCTACAAATACGTTTACTCTCACACTGCATTTGATTTCCATTTGTTTCTCTGCTTCTATTAGAATGCATTTCTTCATTGACTGAATTTATCACTTGTGATAAAGATGGGGGTACGTTGTTCTCAAGTTTCACTGTAGTAGGTGAAGAAGGAGTAGGCAAGGGCATTGTACTCTTAAAGCTATTCGTTAAACTTGGTGGTTGATAAGTTGCTAAACTTTTCAAACCAATGACTTCAGGATTCTCTTTCCAAAAACGGTCACCGATAATATCATCTACTAAAGGAACTATAGTAGGTTTCAATCTTCCTGTACTGTCGGGTACCAATTTCCGAATAAGTGTTGTACCCTTTCGAAACAATGGTGGTTCATTATTATAGTTTATACCAAATTCTTGAAAAAGCAATTCGTTTTTATGCGATGCCAGTGTGCCCCTAAGTTTTTCCTCAGCCTGTAACATTTATAAATTAAAATATTAAAAATTAATTAATTCTATTGCATATTTAAAAAAATGAGTGTACATTATAATTTGCTACAATACGCAATTATACAGATCTCCGTCTTTTATCATAAATATTCTATTGTATTTCATAAGAACCAATTTAAAATTTAATATATTTTTTAGACTGGCAATTAAATTCCAAACATAATTTATATTAAAATTGTTTCCAGAAGTTAAAAAATAAAATTGGTTTTCTACTTACAAATTTAAAAGTAATCTGAATTCATTGAAAAGTAACATGATTGTTTTAAAATATACATTAATGATAAACATATAATAATTATTAGGCTATAATCAATATATTAATAATGTATAAAATAATTCTGTATGTGATCTACATGTAACGTACACATTTTAACCTATTTTTTATCTACTTTTCTATAAAGTCATCATTTCTTTCTACTTGTCATATTATACATAGCAACTTTTTCACACCTTTCTTCCATGAGAATCCATCGCCCAGATTCTATTCTACCACTTCTTAAAATAAAGAAAAACAATGGATTTTGTCAGGAGTTATGCTTGACTCGCAAAAAATTCAACAATGTAAATATAAACTTTTCAAATACCTTCCATATAGCCCAGGCTTTGATGAGGGAAATCCCAGAAATGTTTATCGAGTTTTTCGATGTTTATTTTTTTTAATGATTCTTGAAGGCAAAAAAAATATACGTGGCGCGGCGTTTATTAACATGCGACTTTATTTTCGAGTTATAAATTTTTGCAAATCTGAAAAATTGAGCCATCATTCCAGCGAATCGGGTTCGCATTCGAGGTTCGGCAACTTTTCTCTTTTTTTTAAATATGTGTTCTGTTGTGTTTGTTATTTCTTTCAAACAATTAAAATGTTGATATCATATTTCCTACAAAAGCAATATTAAAGCGTTTATAAACGGTTACAAAATTAGTTTCGCACACAAAATATTAACGGCACGTGCGTTTCAAGATAACGGAACCTCAAATCCTCTGCTTATTGTTAAAAAAAAACGTAGAATTAATTAATAAAACCATAAAATATGTATTACAAGCAATAGGAGTCGACGCTGGTTGTCAGTTAGCGCAATTTTTCTCTTAATACTAAATATATAAACCTTAACTTTGAACGTTTCCACTTATGGTTTGAATTTTCATCAGCAATCTTTCACCCTAGCGTAACGATTGGAGTATTTCCTGACAAAATGATATCTCCAACGTTTTTCCTCTCGAATATTGAACCGTTTACCGTTGTGAGGTAAGTCACATACTCACAAAGTTAGAAAGCTGAGTGGCAATGAGAACTTAAGCTAAAATTATATGAAAGATTAAATTATCGCATGTATAATTCGAAAATTGATATTCACCTCACCTCACACAGTCGACGCTTCTACACTGAACAATGAATCTCTCTTATTTAATATTTTGTAACTCGTTAATATGTTATAAATTATGTAGAATTAATTCTTTACAGATTTTAATATGTCATTTAACGTTATTAAGATCGTTCCGAAGATGCGAATAAGCATCAAAAATTTGTTAAATTGCTGGTCAATTTAACTCGTGATATTACTGCGGTAGTTTAATAGAGTTAGCGTTTTAAGACCGAAAAATCACTTCGGCGCGTGTTTCTGGGGACTACACACGTAGTATATAAATTCGCATAAGAATCATACAAGCATTAAAATCCAGTTAGACCGTTTAGGCGTTGATTTCTATAGTTTGTGTTATCACATATACGGTCCTACAATATATTATATTGAAGGAAAAAAAAAACGTTTCCTTGATAAACTTTCCTTGAACAACAAGCGCGATTTGAATTTCTCGGATTTTTAAAAATTTATAATTCAAAGACGAAGCTGCACGTTAATAAATGCCGCGACACGTATATGTTTTTTGGCCACAAGAATCGTAAAAAGAATTGGTATCGAAAAACTTTTACACTTCTAAAGTTCTCCTTGGCTGCATTCGGGAACGTCGCTCGGATGCCTCCGATGCCTCGGATTCATCATTTGTCCTTGTTTAATATTTAATGTTAAACAAGGACAGATGATAAATTCGAGGCATCGGAGGCATCCGAGCGACGTTTCCGAACGTAGCCCTTGTAAGTATACATTTTCACATTTTCCTTTATCTGAAGAAATACTTTGAACCTCAGTGATTCGAATAAAAAACGAAAAGCAGCAGTACTGAACTAGCTGTATTCTCAGACAGCGAATTTTTCTATATACAAAAGCTAGCGCCCCGATTAAAAAAAAAAATATTTGGAAAGAAACGATGACTGTTTCAGAAAAAGTACGAATCCTTTCACTAGCAAATTTTGTGGAACATTTTAAGACGAAAAGTCTTATACGAAAATGCCGAGAATATAATATTTTTCATTATAAACGATTAAAGTTCGCTAATTGTAGCGTCTGAAATTTGCGCGCTCAAGCATGATACATCGCGCGCGCGGTTGCGAAGATGTCCTTGTATAAGAAATTTAGAGGAAATAGGCAGCAGAGAAGCTATCAGCGTCAGGGCTGTGTAGCTTGTTGGTAGGACGGAAGTCTACTAATATGGAGGAGATCAGGCCTCGATTCGAATCCCGAAATGCCCTGATGTTTGATATATGAATCGCTGATTTCTTACACTTGTACAGTGGGCCACAGAAAGATAGCGACACTTTTTCAATGACTTTCGGAACTCAGCTTCGCTCGTAGAACGATTGAACATAAATAGTGAGATCCAGGAATAAGAACCAATCGCTGAAACCAGGCTGCATTTCAAAATCTACGGAAAAAAGTGTTGCAACAATCTTTCTGACTCACTGTACACTGACTCGCTTTTAAATATTGACATAATTGTGATGCGCTTATTGCAAAGGCCTAATTGAAATTCATATTTTGAAGTATTTATGATGCCATAAGTTAATTGTGCTTTAAAATAGGAATACTATGATGATTATTGTAGAGTTTTTCTACATTGGTATTTTTATAAAAAAAGATTATGTCAAATACCGGAAAAATAGGAAAAAATCCGAAAAAATTGTTGCAAATGTTAGTCCAATGTATTTTAATGTATTTATGTATAATAAGTTGTCGACACATTGTCCAGCAATTGCAATTGCGATACAATATCAAAAAGTGAGAAAATTGTAGAATGTATACACTTTCAACATTCATAGAGTTAAGCATACCATTCTTTCAGACGTAAGATATTTTTCGATTTTTTTGAATATTTTATTTAGATAAAATAAATAGCTAAAGGAAGGTACATTCTTTCCGCGACCGTTTAGGGATCGTTTTATTTCTATTTATTTCTTATGCATTTTTCATCATGGAAACTGAAAATTATCATAATAATGACGCTCAAGAAAAAATTGGTACGTTGAAATGAAATTAATAAAATCCTTATTCACATATATTAATAATTTAAGAAATAATAGTTTTCGTAACAATGTGAATAAGGATTTTATTAACTTTGTTTCCATTTTTTCATAAGCGTAACGTGTCGTTATGATAATTTTCGGTTTTCATGTAGAAAAATACATAAGGAAATGTAGACATAAAACGATTCCTGCGAACGATCGCGAAAAGTGTATCTTCCTTTATTCCTTTGCCTACGTGAAATATTCCACAGAAGTCGAAAAATATTTTATTTTTAAAAGAATGATGTTCAGTTTTATAAATTTTAAAAAGTGTATACACATTTTTTAAATATAATTTATGCAATTACACCATTTTTCTTATCTTCTAATATTGCATTGCAATTGCTGAACAGATAATGTGTCGACAACTTATTATGTATAAATACATTAAAATTGGATTAACATTTATGACTTTTTTCGAATTTTTTTGCTGTTTTGCCGATTTTAAATATTCCATCTTTTTTATAAATATCAATGTAGGAAAACTCTACATAATCATTCCTATTTTAAAGTTGTTACTTACAACACTTTTAACACATCTTAAAACTTTTTATTTTATAATAAACTTTCACGGAATTTGCCAGTGAAAGGATTCGCACTCTTTCTGGGACTTTTCCTGTATAGAAAAGTAAAGCGTATATATCCAGATGTATTAATAATAATTTTATTTTAATTTTTTTTTTAACAGCAATTGGCTTTTACGTTTGAAATATGCCTTATATTGGTTTTAAAATCCTAGATCTGTTATTATTTATGTTTACCTGACTTGGAGTTAATTTTCCTTTCAAAATAAGATTCCAAAAACAAGTGTTATATAAGTTATTGATGTGTACGTCAGCCTGTCGCCAAGCTAGATAATCCCTTAAATTCTTGTCTGTTGGATATAATATAACACGAGCATCAAACGACGGTGGATAATACAATTCTTTACCTCTGAAGAAACATGGCCAGTGATAAACGTATGCCGAAGCAAATAATGAATTCACATTAGACATCAATTTTGATGCTGAAACAAACATACAAAAAAAAATGCCATCGATCGGACACCTTGGGTAATGCTAACATCGACGGTACTGTAATTTTCAAGCCTTATGACTCGAAAAGTACTTAATAAAAATAAACTTTATTATAGTATTTTGAAAAGCTCTTGTGTGACACCAGCTATTACATTCTGGAATGAAAAATAGGGGTTCCATTTGAAAAAATCGATATGACCTGACCTTGGCGACACCAGCCAAGGTCAAACTCATAGCGCCAGTAAATAGATATCTTTTGAATTCCTACAACTTATCTGAAGCAGTTTTTTCCTAAAATGCTTAGTTTTCGAGATATTTTGCCATTCTGGTATTCTTTATACATCCTGTATATTCAAAGTTCGAGTCAAATATTTTAATAGCTGTGGAATACTAGAAAAGTGATAAAACAAAACCAATATCGCTTTAAGGAGTTAGATAAAAATACAAGAAAGTTACATCGATTCGACGCTAAGGCGATTTAAGGACCAAATAAAGGTGGTAATAGACGTGAAAAGTTAAAACAAATTTCTGAATATATATTAAATTTTTAATGAAGCGCTTAAAAAAAGTAAAACAATTATTGATGATATAGATATTGCTCGAGCTAGGCTTCTCGAGCACAAGAAAAAGAAAATGTACCAGGATTCAGTCTCAGAAACGTAGATAAGAAGATTTAAAGTCACGTATAATATTGTGTCTGAAAAAACAACAAATTTTATCGGTAATAAAAATCTTTATTATCGAAACTAGATTTGGAAAATAAGTACGATACATTTGTTGAAAATGTAATATATTACATTGATCGATGGGGAGAAGAAAATATTTATAATTTGAATCAGAGTATTCCAGTTAGAATTATATACCTCTTGGTCTGATAATACCTCACAAAAAGATGGAATATATAGTACAGTATAGTATCAATATCAGCAACGATGCATAGATATATCTTCATATAAAAATAATATCATAAATCGGCCACGAGCCCTTTGTTTTAATTATTTGATTTATTAAAGTAACATAAGCGTTACTCTTTAATAAAAAAAAAAAAAAAAAAAGTTAAAATCTTAAAAACAAACATTTCTCAACTTATGCATGTAAGTAAAATTATTCACATGACTCTTAATTACATGACTAATTACTACTCCTATCTGTTACTATCTCTACATCTTTCCTTCTCTTTCTGCCGAGGTCTATCAAGGTGGTTTCAATTCTATGCTTCATCTAGTACTACGATTGCATTTGATTTGCATGCTCATGTCACACTTGTGGCTTATGCACAGTAAGCTTTATTCTATTTTCTTTCTAAATATGTAATAAACGATACAGATAAAAAAGACAGAATAAAACTTACACACACAGCATGTGAACACTCAAAACAATCGCAGCTTATTTATGTTGATGACATAATAATGATTCAATCATAGAATAATAAACAATTTTACTTAAAACACTTAAAAATTAGTTAATATTATAAATTTATAATATTCATTAATTGTCTAAAATAATGCAATATGAAATAATTAAAAAACTCAAAAATTAATTGCTAACATCATTGAGATACAAATTCTAAAATAAAAAATAATTATGTAATTAACAGTAAAGAATGAAACATCTGTAAATGCGCGCAGGCAAAAATTAATTAATTCTATATCAGACAAATTTCACATTGTCAAGGCACACGATGAATACCTCTGCGTTTGTAAAGCTGTGTATCTTTCCGGAACACGAACGAATATTCGTCGCTCTGGCCAAAACCCAATATAATCTCTTTAAAGTCCTCCATAACAGTAACAGCAGCACGATTCATCAACTCGAGAGCAGCCACATCATTCGGTTTGACAAACTGATGCGTATCACAAAATCTCGAGAAATTCCTGCCATCTATTCTAATTACAATCCAGCAATTTGGCAAACAGTTATCGTCCCTTTCAAATTCCTTCACATACTCGAACTTGCTCTTAGCCATTGTCGTCAGGCATAAATAGCGGCGCGTAACCACTTGTTTAGCCCAAATAATCCTTGACAGAACGCTCTTCATTCAATTGTGGATTTTCGTTCAGTTTGGCACACACAATCACAAAAATTGATAAAAAATATACCAATCAATGCATTATCGGTAATACTAAAAAATTCTGTCTTCCTCATCGGTTTTTATGAGATTACGCTCATTCGACGCATTTTCGCGTGAAATAAACAAACAAATCTGACAGAACAAATCGGTGCCCTGCCCCGTGGACTGAGATATTAATCGTTAAACTTGACGACCACGATTCAGGTATTTCAGGTTAGGAAATGTATTGCAGTCACAAAATTGACAAAAAAAACTGTCAGACAGGTCAGACTGTCTGCGAGGTAAATATGCGTTTGCGCATGTCTTTTTCTTCCGTCTTCGTCTCCCTTTCACCGGGGAGGAAGTTTTGGAATGTACTCTGACTTGTGAAGGCCCGTCTACAATACACGGAGTAAGAAGAGTAAGAAATTGACCAATCACAGTCGAATG